GATGAAACAAAAAAACTAATTTATATGATGTTGCCATGAGTTTATACGTTGTTAAAGTGATGAGGTTTTAGGAAAGTTACATTTACTTACTAATGGTTACACCCGACTATTGTTCACGACTAAGTCTATCAAAGGTTTGGATAGCAATAGTAGGTAAAGAATGTTTAAATTTCTCTTTAGATTTGAAAAGATTAACCACTAGTCAAAAACATATTCAAAATCTGATTTGTATTATGAGTAATATCATAGTCAAATGTAATATATGTTAACATCAGAACCATGTAATGCTAAGTTAATAATATCATTTAGAACATGTAGAGGCCCAATCTTGAAATATGTACAGTAAATATCTACTTTAGCTCATATTATACCTTTTTATGCCAAATTCAAGTTGCACTCCTTTTAAACGTGTGGTAGATTAAAGCATCACGTGATAATGCTAATCATTATTAATTGAAACGCTTTACTTTTTATTCTTTCAAGTAACACTACGTGTAAAGTCCCTAATTTAATAGCGCAAAACTGTGATAGAAACAGGAGTGTAAGAAGTGTACATTCATGAGTTATAAGAGAGGGGTGTTCCAGCATGGAAGTTACAGTGGGAAATATATTATTTAAACCAAAAACAAAAACCGGAGTTTCAAAGGAGGCAGCCGCCCTGGCGACATCGTCGACGTTAAGTTTGTCTCCATTTTTCAAATTATATGGCAGCTCAACCTCCGGCAAATTCTCGAAACTTTCTCTCGCCACCTAACTGTCAACCACATTTGTAATTCATGTAAATTGTTGCTTTGTTTTTTTCAGTCTTGTTTTTTATCTTGATGTGCATCAAGACTTTTTCGTCTTGAGTGAAACGTGAAAAAATGTTAATAATTTACAGATATAATTTTAACAGAGCATGATAAAAGCCTTTCTTTTAGGGAATTGGTAATATTGTTGTTATTTAAATAACATGATTGTTTTTACAAAATATAAATATGCTGCTTTGACATATGCCATGCAGCTCAGAGCTATCATCATGTTTAGTTTATTTTTGTTTCTGTAGTATATTGTATATTGGGCTTACTTTTTACTAGAGGTCGTCCAGTTGTCGAAAAGTCGACCAAAAACATCTAATGTAAAAATATTTTCATCCTATACTGTAAATAAAACATGTGATTGGAATTCCTTCCGTTTGTTTTGATTTTCTGTTTATATTTCGTTGTTATTTCGACACCTGGGGCCCATTTCATAATAAATTACAAGTTACAAGTTACAACTTGTAACTTTTAATTTCCATATTAGGTTTGAATTGGGTGATCAGCTGATTTACTAATAATATTAGTTTGTACTTTATTATTAAAAGGGCCCCAGCATGGCAACCCATAAGGCCAATGTAATTTTTTTTTTATTTAAATTTATAAAGGGATTCTGCACACCTAAAGGAAAATATCTTTCTAACAGTATGCTTAGATTTTTTGCTAACGATGCACACGAGCTGAGAAAAAAGGGTTTAAAGACACACGCTTGCCTATTAATATATATAGATATTTTTTGAGACTTAGGTACTTGATTCTTGAGTTCATATCAAATCAAATTATCTTAATTTTACACACGGTAAACTTTATAATAGCGTCACAAAGTTAAGAAATAATAAAAACTAGCGGTCCCGTGGTCGAAAACTCGTCACCAGCATGGCAGCCCATAAGGCCCATGTTATTTTTTTATAATATTTAAGTTCATTTTTCGCATGTTTTAAAGAAACATGCTTGTCTATTATTTTTTTATCAAGTTTAACACTAATATACTGAATGCCATTTTCCCGTACAACCTTCAACCTTCAACTACACAGTATTCACCTGCACGTTCACTATATGTGGGGAAGAGGGTACAGGTAAAACTTTTTATCAATAATAAAAACACATGGCAGTTTGGTCAAGTAAAGAAGAAGCTTTGGAAAAGACACTGTCTCGTAGTTCTCGACTCACCTGATAGAATCCTGAAGAGTCACATCAATCAACTACGCCCAACGCTGGTACAGAGTCCGAAAACGAAAAAAAAATTACATATGGACCAACGCAGTCGTTTGATGTTCCATGGATTCCAAGACGACCAGAAATATATAGGGATCCAGATCCAGTTGCAGCTCCAGGACCAAGGCAACCAGAAGTACAATCTCCAGAAAGAGCTCAAGCTGACAATGTCATACCATATCGTGAGCAAGCTGAGAATACCAACGCCAGACCACAGCGTGAGCGTCCGCATGCCTTCAAGATTTAGAGACAACCAGTTGTAACGTTGTAACAGATTGTTCTTAGTGGGGGAGACTGTCATATCAATAAGTCTATCTTGACTACATATGGTTCAGTTAATATGTATAATTTCAAATAAGGTCAAGACAGATGTGTATTGTTATCAATGTTTACATTTTACTTTTCTTCTAGTGATAATTACAATTTATATAAAGGATTTTACTTTTAGTTTTTCAATAAAAATATATACATCTTATCCAGTGCGAATATTTATCAGTACTAATAATATCAGGCCACCCGTTTGAGTCAATCAATGGAAAATGCACATCGAGTAAACACCCAGCACGGCCACCTTTAACTCCAGGACCTTCGAAGTGGCAACGTCGCAAGTAGGGTTGTAACAGCTGTTTTGTATGGTAGCAGCAGTAGCAGCTAATGGTATTTGTGTATTTACGAATGCTTGGTTACTGGACTATGAAAATATTGGCCCCGCTAAAAAATGTACAGATATAGATTTTCAATTCATATTTTTTGGTTTTCAATTCTGTATGTTTTATTTCCAATGTTTTAATAAATTTATGTTCATAAATTTCAATTAAATGCGAATTAATGAGCTGATGCACGGCCACCTTTAACTCCAGGCCGCGGCCTTCGAAGTGGCAACATCGCAAGTAAGGTTGTAACAGCTGTTTTGTTTGAAGGCGGCTAATGGTAATTTGTGTATTTTTTAGAATACACCTGGGGCCCATTTCATAATAAAGTACAAACTAATATTATTAGTAAATCAGCTGATCACCCAATGCAATTCTAATGGTAATTACAAGTCACAACCAACTTGTAACTTGTAGTTTATTATGAAATGGGCCCCTGGAGTTAAAGGTGGTCCTGGTTGATGTCACCATTACCTGTCTTCCAAGTTATCTTATGGGTAAGGCCACAGCTATGGACGACTGGGTACCTGCCAGCCCCTTGGGGGAAGCCCCCAGTGACATCCCTCCATTCCAGGATGGTGGATTGTTTAGCTCTCAGAGTATTCTTTCATCTACCTGTGGCCGTGGTTCTATGGGCTTGCTTGTATATTGTCTGTTGTGTACGACTAACATTTTGTGAGGCATATCCTCGGCTCTGGAAGTAGCCTCTTCCTGGGAGATGAAAGACGGGAAATTGCTAAGCCCCCAAAGGGGAGGTAACTGCTCGGTGTTGGAATCGGTACTTCAAGTAGGCCATAGTCATGGACGACTGGGAAGGCCAGCCCTTTAGGGGGAGAACCCACTGACATTCCTCTATCCAGGATGGTGGGGTGTTTAGCTCTCGGAGAGGTGGCAGTGCGCCATCAATTCTCCCATCTACCTGTGGCTGTGGTTCTATGGGTTTCGGCCCGCTTGCTGTGTGCGATCAACATTTAGTGAGGCAAATCCTCGACTTTGGAAGTAGCCTTTCCTGGAGGTGAGATCGGGCGAGTACCCGTAAGCTCACGTGAACACTCTGGGGGAACGTAGCTCTCCGTAGTGTAAGGGAAACGGTTGGGCGCACTCCATCAGCCAATCCCTGTCTCTGAGCCCAGAGGGTATGGTTATCTAGAGTGTGGGGGGTTCTCCCTGGAACCTCAATTGAGTTAAGGGTGTCGCCACCTTTGGTGGATAGGTTCATCCGGGTGGGTCCCACTTCTATACCTGCCTCCTTTTGGGAAACCCTGATGGCCTGGCAGTGATGTTGGGCTAGATGGGCAAACGAAGTAGATCGGGTGCTGGAATCAACCCGCTGGGGGTATCTGGGGATCTATCACCCTGGTTATCTCTGGTTTCCCAGTAAATGGGTTGGCCTCGATCGGGTAGTGGTGCAAATAGGTGGTTCCCTTCCTCCTGGCTTTGATGGCGGGTTCTGCCTGTCAGGGATTAGATAGGTCCCAAGTGTTGCTTGCACTAGAAGCGTTCAGGGCATTCCATTATGGTCCTTCAGGGTGTCGTACCTGGTTGAACCCAGGTGGAATGGACGCTTGACCAAGTAGCCGGTATCCCTGGTTAGGATTAAGGGGTAACCCTCTTTCTGAAGGGTTGCTTTGGCAGCCGGTGAGCTTGGTGGCCTTAAGCCACCACTTATGGTGTGCTCAGGGTTGGTGCATAAGCTCCGGCCTACGCCATGGGTCCCGGGTTAAGGGAAACTAGATACCGGCCGGAGAAAAAAAAAAAACTAACTAACTAACTAACTAGAAAGAAACTAGATATGGGTAGTCGTCGGGGAGTTTCTGCTCCTTCTACAAAGAATAAAAGAATAATAAAATTATCTTCAACCCTACTTGCGACGTTTGCTAATTCTACCAGCCACGGCATAGGTGGCCTGCACCCAGTCAAACTCAGTGCAACCGCACGCAAAGTCTCCAGCATGAAACAAACATAAAAACCAGATTCCATATCTTCGATTGGGCAGTACGACAGTAAATCAGTAAACCTACCTGAACTGTTCAAAGTTTATGGTCAGTACACCCTGCATGTTAATTTATTAATCGTAAAGCTTGTGAAGTACAACACAGAAAATATAAACCCTTTTGTTTCGTCATTGGTACAACGTACAACCGTTGACTATTTAGTCAAAGAAAGTACAACCATTGACTTTATATCTACACATCTAGTGTAGATATAAAGTCAATGGTACAACCCAGTATAATAATCAACAATCATAAACGGTTTAGTTTGATTGCTTTACTACAGTGTTGATTTTTCTACCAGCTGTTTATTGGGGCAGATTGTTAAGAAGAAGAACCCACCAGAGAGACTAAGAAAATAGACAGACGACCTTTGGATTGGTTTTGTCGTTTTGTGTTGAGTCTGGTCTGATATTTTGGTTAAACATTTTATGGCTCAATTACAAAAATAGGTAGTTACAATAGTTTTTAAGAATAATGGCGTTAAAAGTACTAAAAGAAACCCTTAGGTTTGTCAACAAGGCCCATGCATCGTTGGGAATCGTACGACAGAAACACTCAGAGCCATCCTGGGTCCCAGAGGATCCTGAAACTCATACTGGTCAGGTAAGAATAGGCCTATCCCGAAAATAAACAGGGTTTTATTTAACTTAACCAAACGTAACATGGTTTAAAGGCAAACCTTTGAGTTTAGCCAAACTGAAAATTTTTGCAGCCTTAGCCTACTACTTTCTGATCAAGCTATAAGTTAGTTTCGACCTAAGCCTACTCCTAGGAATGAAGGAATCACAATTTATTTTTATTTTACACACCAACGGACATATCCATTTTCATAAACTAGACTAATCTTCTATGGTTTCCGAATTGTGTACCGGTATTAGTTGGGCTAGGCATATTAAGAACTGGCAAATAAGTTTAACCCTCTGAGTGTTATTTGTCGCTGCAGCGACACATAACACACTTTGTGTAGTGTTTTGTGTCGCTGCAGCGACTCACAAACACTGTTTACGGCAAAGGCTCTATGACTGACAAAATCGGATTGAACTGGATCGAGTTAGGTATCGTTTTATTTGACAGATTCAGAGCTTTCTCCGGAGGTCTGTCTCTAAGCGCTATTCATTTTAGTTCCGAAAATATTGTAGCAGACAGCTGACGTGCGTATTTGTAAACAGCTTGGTTAGACTCGGACCGATGACTGATGTGTTTTATTACGTTTATCTTTGTTTTAGTGTTAAAAATCAAAGTAGTGATATACGTGGTGCATTATAAGAAGATTAAAGTGATTTTGAAGGGCTGGTTGATGATCCTGAAGAAGTAGGTAGTGATATTGATGTAAATTATCAGCCAGATTCCTAGCTATGGTTAGGCTATGCATTCTTAGCTAAACGCTATGTACTGAAATCTGTTTTTTGCCCATAACTTATTTATTTGCAAATCTACTTCCTTATATTATTATATATTTGTAATCCTCATAAAATTTAGAACAAAGTGGCTATTTTCAAATATTTATAGGCCTATAATTTATACAATTTCATTGAGCGCAAACTTATTTTTTTTTTGAAGATTTTCTAAAATATTTTTTTTTTACCTAAAAATTTTTTTTGAAACAAATATTCCTTATGTTCTATGTATAACATTGAAGCCCATGATTTTCCAAACAAAATGGTATATAGAACAGTATAATTAACATTGTTTTCAAGCTTCTCAGATCCGTTTTAATAAAACCTTGCAAATGAGCAAAAAATAGGCAGACATTAAGGCCAAAACAAGGGACACTCGGAGGGTTAAGTTTAAATCCAAAAAGGGTTGCCACCCGTCCCGATTCTGTCAGGACAGTCCCAGCTTTGAGCCTGTTTCCTGTGTTTTTTTTTACGGTAGGTAGGTAGTCTAGTTTTTACTAGAAGTCAACGTTAGTAAAACGCTTTTGAGAGTAGGCCTAAGTGGTCTAAACTCACATTAAGTAAAGTTAGGCTAAAAGTTAAATGTTTTAGTGGATGTGCTGGGCATTGAACCCGCCCTGCACCAAAGTCTAAAATGCTAATTTAGGTTAGTAACATAACCCTAAGCTGTGGGAGGGAGGAACCGTTTTGATTTTTCCCTAACCAAAAGTGGCAACCCAGGTCCAAACTCAGTTTTGTTGGTTGTAGGCTACTAAGTTAGGCGGGTTAGTAGTATTCATACCCCCTCCTCTAGGAGGGGGTATGAAATGTCCTTCCTTTAAAGAGTGGGGTCCGGAAAATTTACAATAGGCCATAATCAAACACTAAATAGAGTTTTTAAGCATTCTCTATTTTTTAAACATAGGCTAATTTTCCTTAGCTTTTAATATTGGGTGCTCACATTTGAATGTTAAAGCAATCCATAAACAATAAGGCACCGCGTCTCGTACCGCCATCTAGTTGTTACCTAAGTCTACTTGTACCTAGTAGACCTAGGGGCAACTAGACGTAGGTTCAAGTAGACGGTGGCACAGCCGACTAGTTGTAACCTGCAGATTTTTAAGAGGTACAACTAGACGTGTATGCCACCGACAAGTACTGTCAAGTTAGTGTCACCTAGCTTGAACGGATGCGACCAGTTGTCCATACGACTAGTGGTCCCTACGTCTAGTTGTACCACTAGTCGAAAAAACACTACCTAGTGTTTTTTTGTTTGGGGTTGTCTAGTTGTACCCACGTCTAGTTGTACCTATGGCTAGTTGTACCTACGCGTATTTGGCATCCTTATAGTCCAGTTGTATCTATCCTTCATTTTGTTACCCTGTTTAATTGATTCAAGGGACAAAGTACATTGTTATCAAGAACAAGTTTTTCTCTATGAGCTGCAGACAAACCAAATTTTCCTAGCTTTTGCAGCAAGTTGTTTATACAAATTTTTCTAAGATTTTGTAATTTTTCAAATCAATAAAAAAGCCCTTAAACTGGTGACAAGTTGAAGGGGTGATACAACTAGCCGCAGGTATAACTGGACGTAGGTACAACTAGTTGTATGTAGTCGTAGGTACAAATAGACGCAGACGTATGAGGTACAAGTAGGCGGTGGCATACCCGACAAGTTGTACCTGCAGATTTTTAAGAGGTACAACTAGACGTAGAGACAACTATACGTCCGTGCCATAGTCAAGTTGTACCTACAGCTTTGGATGTGGTACAACTAGACGCGGGTACAAGTAGACATCGACCCAACAATAAACATTTGATAGGCCTAAGTTCATAAGTGTTTCTTTCAAAGACCTAACTACACAATTTACTTTTTCAGAAATTTGAAAAAGATGACTACCGTCTTGTTAGATTCATAGACAAGACAAAGCATGTTAACAAGAAGTTTGCTATTGATCTCATCGCATCAGTTCCTCCAGAGTCGAAGAAGGAAAGAGTTGTGTGGTGTGATGGTGGTGGTGGCCCCACTGGACATCCTAAAGTGTTTATAAACCTGGTAATATTTTGTCTTATTTATATTTATTGTTGGTAATCTTGTTACGTATTTCAATATAATTGTGGTTAGTGACGTATTAGTCCTTGACTTAAAGTACGAGAATTTTAAGAATAGGCCTAACTATTGAGGTACAGTAGACTCCCTCTAGTTTGGCTTTGATTGGATCGGTCGGTTTAAGGGGGATGAGTCACATCATCTCGAAAAATTACTGTACCTTCGACAGGATTCAACTTAAGAATGTTAAGTCTCCGGCTGTCGAAGTATACAATTCATGTCAGTTTAGTTTTGTCAGTTGGGTGCTTCTCTACTCGATTTGTTACACTTTACCCATGGTAAACGGTTGTGTTAAGTGGGTTCTACCCGGCAGCTTGAATTTCAAATCAAAATGTCGAATGGATGGAATGAAATGTAGAAGTTAAAATCACATGTTGGTAATAAAGACTAATTTACGGATTTGTTAAATGATTAAAAAAATATTGTTCAGTATCAACAAACCATTTTAAAATATGAATTAATGAAACCAGTGTTTTATTTTCATAAAAACAATGCATTATAGAATAAGATTTTTTCCATAAATAACACTTCAATATACAAATAAATTTTCTACATACACCCTTGAAGCACACTTTGTATAGCGTATTACTACATTAATATATTTTTGTTTGGTTTAACTGCACTATATCAGCAATAGCAAAAAAAACTCATTTAAAAATATATTATATTGAAATTAGACTGTTCTAAACTAACCTTACCTAACTAATCAAACTTGCTGTAAAATTTCACATTTCTGTTTGATATTCCCCACATACCTTTTCTGTTATCATACAAAATTTTGAAATAGTCAAGGTAGGCCAATTGGTAACCTACAGAAAGTTTGGTTAGTTTATAAAAGTTTAATTTTTTAATCCATATATTATTTTTCCTAAACAAGTAATTTAAATATGTTTGAAGATATTAAAACAGAAGGAATATCGATCGTAAAGTTTACAAAAATATTGATGTATTGAAAAGAAATCATCGATAACGTTGGTAGTTAATTTAATAGGGTTATTTTAAATTTTAATAATCTGTCTTGTTAGTCGGGGCATTTTGTTGCCCAGTCGGTGATCCGGTATCGAAATGGCCGAACTAGAGGGAGTCTACTGTAGTTGTATTCCAGTTACCAGTTTCATTTTATATCTTGAAGATACTAAACACTAAAACACAGTCACTCTTAAAAGGCTAAAATCCAGTAGCTAAACTTTGCTCAAGTTGAGCTCCCTGAACCCAAAATTTCAATTGTTGGCCAAGTGAAACAAAACTCCACTTAGAATTATTTCTGTCAGACTACACAACAAAAATGACTGAAGCTTTACCTGAAATGCGCTGCACCCTGCACAGTGAATTTCAATCTTAGTAATACTGCGCTTTGGCTTCAGGATTATTGTTATTGTTGTTTTTGGGATCAACTGTTCAAAGCCTGAGAGGTCTAAATTGTATTGCTTGCCAAAGAAACAGCACCATAGATCAAGGGATCGAATCCCATAGGCTATTCAAGATTCTGAGTTGACTTGAAATGGGGAAGCTCGGAGGTGGGGCCGCATAAAATAAACAATGGACGGCTTGTGTGGAAGTTGAGGAGATAGATGAATTCTTTGTGATATTAATCAAGCGTTTCCTTACTTTTTACTTATACTTTTTTTCTATCTAGGGCACTTGCATTTTTTGTTTTTTTTTTTTAGAAACGGCCCAAAACCTAGAATTTTTACTATCTAACATTGACCTTTTTTTTAGATAGTGTTATTAATCAGCATTTTTTATATAAAATTCAACTTGATATAACTTAAAGCTAGCAGTCTTTATCATTGGACTAATTGACATAAAAATAGGCATAATCAAATCAATGAACAATCCATGGATTAACCCTTTCCAAGCGGCAGCTGCAGGGCAAAGCTTTACACCCTACGCGATCAATAATTTGATTGAGGTTAAAAATTATTGATTTTGAAATTTTTTCACTTCTATCTCATGGCATTTGATAATATAGAGGTAGTTTTCAATAAAGAACACAGCACATTTCTAATCCACTGAATATATTCCACTAATGTTATTTTACTAGGTTTACTTCACTCAAGAACTCGTAAACAGACTGTCTGCACAAAACAAAACTCAGCCGACCGGTTTGGTAAACGTCATATGGGATCAGTTAAATGCCAAGCCACAAATCAGAAATTTTTCACAAAAAATAAAAAGTTATCGCAAACAATAATATTGCTTAGTCGTCTAAGGTATCTGTTGACGGCCAAGAAACAAAATACCCATTTTACCTGTTTTTACCTACAATATATTTAAATATATTTTGTACACTTGTGACCTGCAGATTGAGTTGCATATATACGGCCAACGCTCAGGAAGGGTAAAAATGTCCAGGTGTGTGTCCTCAAATGAGGTTGCTCAACGGGTGTTAGTCCCATATTATCTGTTAATAGAAGTAAATGTTCGCAAGTCTTTGCAACTTGAGTATACTTTATTGGTAAGCTGTATGTTTCAAAACTACCCTCCAAATACTGTAAGTCAAATAAATGTCATGCATGAGGTACGGTACTGGAGTTATTATTAATGTCACAATATATTTACAGGACAAACCAGGCAATCACAGTTGTGGCTATTGCGGCTTGCGATTCTACAAGGAAGATCATCATGGCCATTAATTATTAAAATAGCCTATGTATAAATTTGTAGTCAGTTTCAAGAAGTTTTTTGTTCAGTAAAGTTAATGTTATACTCCTATATTTTTATTGTTTTAATCATATCTGATAACCTATTCTTATTGAATTTTGCCGTTTGAATTCATTGTTGTAATGTTTCAAAAGTTCACCACCATACCAGAATTAATTATGATTAATAATCCCATGACTAATAATCTCTAGACTCAAGTTACCACTTAAATTAAGCTCAAGTTATGGTACAGATTTTGATCTATATGACTCTTTCTGTTTATTTATCTTTGTTATTTCGTCACCAGCATGGCAACCCATAAGGCCCATGTTGGTTATTTTTAACTTTGAATTCATTTTTTGTGATTATCGTTTAGCCTATTTTAGTTTATAAAGGGATTCTGCAGATCTACAGGAAAATATATTTCTAACAGTATGCGTAGATTTTCCCTGCGATGCACACGGCCACTGAAAAAAGGTTTTAAAGAAACATGCTTACCTATTCATTTCATATATAGATTGGAATATGTATAGAGGTTACTGTACTAAGTTTCCATTTTCTCACCATTCACAAGAACGTGAATGTCTTAGGCAAGCCGACTTATTAAACCTTAACCTAAACTTTATTTTTCCTGCCCTGGTCTCCAGTTGCTATACAGTATTTGTCAACCTAGTCTCTCAACAGGAATATTATTTACCTTCCGGGTGTATATCCTCAGGGCCGTCCGAAGGGGGGGGGGGGGGGCAAGCTGCCCCGGGCGCCGTGGCTGAGGGGGCGCCGAGCAGCAACTATTTGTATTAACATCGTATTAAAATATGCAAATGCGACTTTAACTGCTGGGGCTAGGTTGCGCAACAACCACATTTGCTCCGGGTGCCGCCAACCCTAGGGACGGCCCTGTAATGTATATCCTGCAGATGAAATGAAATAATATTTTATTTCCTATTAATTAAACTCATGCAGTACAGTATTTTTATTAGGCTATAAATAATACAGCAAAAATTACAATCTAGATAACAAATACCCCCACCTCAGCAAACCTGCAACAAGGGAATTTCCATTTACGAGGTTGGATTTTCACAAAAATATTTCCGTTTAATAGTCAAATCCATTTGTTTTTAAATAACATTTATTGTAATGGGTACTAAGGTTTGCTGCTACCGGAATGGTAAAAAGGTGTGTTTTTTTTTAGAAATTTTGATAGCTTATGGTATACATTTAAAAAAATTTCAAATTGATTCAGACCATTTTTTAAGCAAGTTAAACTACAACCATTCATTTCTTGCTCCACCTTTTTTAGTAGAATGGTATAATACAGTGCCGCTCAAAGATTTCTTTAAATAGCCATTTTGAATCTAGATGCTGCCAGTTTTTACTCAGATGCCTTACGAGCTAAAATTTGCGGCATTGTATTCTACTAATAAAGACTTTAATTGTATATTCATATCGACCTATGCTTACATATTATGATTTTCTGAGGAGGCAGCGTTGTATATACGAGTGAAAATTTAAAAACGTATGTTTTCATGTCCCTGGCCTTTTACTTCGTAGATACTGGATTTGTAGTTTATTATTATGTGTTTTAATATTTTTTGGGACGGGGGCAACATGTTACACACATTTATTTGGTTTTAAATAGGTTCTAGGTATTTTTTTCGTTTTTTAAAGTCTCGAAATTCACGACCATGACGTGTCCCTAGGGTACATTTTCCAACTTTCACGCTGTTTTTAGACTAATTATTCATGTCAAAATATATAAAGCCATATTTTTATGTCATCAATGGTTATTAAACTTACAAAAAAGGAGCATAATATTATAATTTTATTGTCATTGCAAACTGACTACCATGACAAAATAAGTCTGTCCCTCGATTTGGCGTCACGACCATTCGGGAAAAATTTTCAACTTTGGAGCACGACAGTGGCAAGCCTGGCGTCGATGGAGTCAGTTGGTTTTAGAGACTAGTTCGGGGTGTACGTCAGGATTGTAGTGCCGGTCGTTTCGAGTTGAAAGGAGGAATTACAAGATTAATAAAGGAAAGATTGTGTTTTTTGTAATTTTGGTGTGTCCATAACCGTACGTAGTCATTCAATGAAGTAGACATGGTGTTAATTTTTGTTTATAAGATATTTCAATTGCTAGATTAACCTAGAAGTCCACTTTGTATCCTCGAACATTAGGTGCAGGGCTACCGCCAGAACAGAGCCAAATAACACGTAATTTCACGACCAAAGTTTCACGACCATCGCGGGTTTTTTCACGACCAATCCAGCCTTATGGATTATAGTGTGTTTGGTCGTGACGATAACTTTAATATAATTGAAATTTGAACAGTTTAGTTCAATTGAAACACTTATTTTTATTATAACTAACAGTATAATTGAAGGATTGTTTAGAAATATTTAGATTATTTCAGAAAATTCACGACCGTACGGCTTGTCCCTGACCATCACGTTTATCATTTCTATCATAAAAATTTCAAAAATTAAAATATCGTCATATTTCAATGTTTTATACACAATAGAAGCACACCTCTATACAAACATAACGATTTTTCGGGTCTCAGGTAAGCTTTTTCGGAGTTATACAAACTTAAAAAGATTTTATCGGCTTTTTTTCAAATTTGTTGAGTTTTTTTATTTTTTTCTAGAAAGACCAAATACACCAAAAGCTCAGTGACCTTTTTATTGTATAATGGTCATAAAAGTAAATTAGTTTATAGCAAAACATAGTTATAAAAATAATATTAACTATTTTTAATATTCATTTAAACTTCTGTTATGGTCGTGACAGGATTTTGTTTTTCCACTAAAGATGCTCTTTAAAAAAGAAAACCAAAGATATTGCGTTACCATGGGCATTTTATGAAACTTATAATGTTAATGAAATAAAAATAATAAAAAAAGTTTTGAAAAAAGGGGAAATAATTTGCAAAGTGCTTTTCCTGAAAACGTACGTTTTTAAATTTTCACTCGCACATTGTGGTGGTCATTTTACCACGAAAGCGGATTTTATGACACGACAACCTAAACATTTACGAACTGTGATTTGGATCAGATTGTTGAAACCTTTAAATTTTCCAGCTTTTTCCTTATCATCAAAATTCAAGTTCAGTTCTCAGTTGTCTTGCATCGTGAATTCCATGAATCTTTGAACAGCTGTAATTTTTTACTCGGTTGTCCACTTGAGCTCAGGTTTACAGCATTGTATTAATTTGATGTGCATATCAAATCAACCTATGCTTATTTAACCTATACAACTGCCCAGTAACTTTGTACCAAGTGTTGAAGCTCTACCTTGATTTATATTTCGAAATATCTGTCCCCACAACTTTTTTTCACCCTGTATATAAAATGTTACTTCAGACTGTTTAAATGTGACACCATACACCACACCACATGATTAACAATTAGGTGTACAGGAAAACCTACATATTGTAAGTGTTTCATTTGTCAGCCAACATACTACTGTTGTATAGTAATTAACTCGTTAAAGTTTTTCAGCATAAAGTAATGATAACTATGAAATGGGTACCGGTTCTGGCAAGTAACATGACGGTATTGATAGAGGTAGAAAAGATTTGTCTTCACATTGCTGTATGCTGGATGCAGAAGAGCCATTTATGCAGGAAATCCGAAATACTACTACTCACTGACGTTCTCTGCATAGTGGAGACCGTAAGTGACGGCCGACCACCCCTCAAAACTTATACCACACCCATAGTTTAGACATCAATGTCAGCTGTTAACTAGCAGATTATTATTAAATACTAGCAGAGTACCCGTCCTTCGTACGGGGTTGGCATATAAGTATCAAATGCTTATAGCAGTTATGAGTGAGGACATGGTTTAAGAAATGTCGGTTCTTTTTGAAGTTCGTTCGCTACGCTCACTCACCTTTAGGTTGGAGCTCGTTCGCTGCGCTCACTTTCCTTCAGGTTAGCTCGTTCGCTACGCTCACTTGCCTTCAGGTTAGCTCGTTCGCTACGCTCACTCGCCTCCAGGTTGAAGTTCGTTCGCTACGCTCACTCACCTTTTGGTTGCAAATTAGCTGTTGTCATAAATGTAAAAGAAATAATGCTAGTGCTGCACCCTGTTGGTAATCCTTGTAACTTTAATGCTATTGAAAATCATAGAACAGAACCAACTTGTTTAATTGAAACAGCTGTTAAGATTCATTAATTCCATTTCTCATAAGGTTAACATGGGAACCTTTGCTCCAGAGCCACTGGGGCGGAGCCCGGAAGGATTTTTGGGATAAAAATATGCCTATATGTTAATCGGGAATATGAGCTATCATCATGCCGAATTTCAGCCCGATCCGACCAGTAGTTTTCGCGTTTACTTTTCCCATACACACAGACACCACCTCTTTTTTATAATAGTATAGATTTTTGTTTTCCACTCCTCATACAGGGCCTGAAAGCCCTCTCAGTCACATCCAATTTCTTTTGAAGTTTTTATTTGTATAAAATTTGAAAGGTGGTCACCTTAGACTGATCAAACTATCCTATGTCACAGCAGACACGACACGGGCCAGCATGCCTTCATCTTTGAGTGCAACTGGTGTTTAACTATTGTATCTCCATTTCTATGACATCGTTTTAAGAACTCATACGTCACAGAAAATCATTGAAGCTATAGCTTCAGCTGGGAGTAGCTATAGCTTCAGCTGGGAGTAGCTATAGCTTCAGCTGGGAGTAGCTATAGCTTCAGCTGGGAGTAGCTATATATAGCTACTCCCAGAAAAGACATCTGGAACTGCTTCTAGCGCTTTGTCCAGTCCAGTCCACACTTTTTGGGGCCCTATTTTTGAAGTGGTTGAGTGTTGACGATTGATTTAACTCTCAACCATTTCAAAATAGGGCCCTTGGGGCAGTCGCAGCCCTAGAGATTAATTGCGGGGCCCAAGGTGAAGTTCAATAGAAGGCCTACCTGAAATACGGCTGTGTGGAGCCATTGACTATAAGACTAGTAGTGTGTTATATATAGTCAATGGTGGAGCCCCTGAAAAGCATGGGGCCCAGGCACCGCCTTGTTCGCCTGTATGTAGGGCCGCCTCTGCCATGAGGTCAAATATAAAACCCCTAGATAACCCATATCGAGCCTCAAAGTGGCTCTATCGAATGATCTAGTATGAATTAAGTAATGTGCGATGCTGTAGTGTGTGTAAGTTGTTCCAGGCCAGGCCATCAGTGCTCTAAATTAGTAGATTAGCGGGTGGGCAGGACTTTTATACACATGAACACAGGAATTCCACCCTTGATTGGCCGTGGTGAAAAAAGGTCGTCCGTAACAAAGGTACATCAAATTATATTCTGTAGGTCCCAATGCGGTATAAGTTAGAGACCTTGCGATTTTATGGCAATGAGTCAATTAATTATTCCTCAATCGGGCTTAACCTCGACCAGGAATGCCCTGGCGTAACTGTCAATGTCAATCACAGTTCCAGGCTAGCGTCCTAGGAGATGAGGAGGCTGTTTATGTGCGAGCACCACACTACTAGCTTCCACAAGTAGGAAAAGGCATTACTCCTAAAAAAATGAGTTTTGTCCTTGGAATGCCATCAATTAGAATATTAGGTTCATAATTATTGAGGTGATCCAAAAACATTTTTTAAGTACTAAATAATACTCAATTAAGAAATATAACGTTTATTGTTTTCTCCAGTTAGTAATGACTTGCCGATAAAATATATTCCGAAATGTATTAATTTGTATTATTAATTTATAGTGCCGACGACCAGCCGACGACCATACATGTTTAATCAATGGATGTCCTTATTGACTACATTTATCTAAGTTTTACTCTATGTTGTGTATCTTTTGGCGGTAGAATGATGAAGAAAACAAGAAATTATCAAATGAAAACAATCATTTAGAAGATTGAAGATTCGAATTTTCAGCAGCACAGCTTTAACCTCGAAACTCCTGACGTTGTCAATAATTTTATTAACTTCTCATTGCTTAGTACTGCGTAATTTAAATTTAACTAGGCCTAAATCGTAACAGAGATGAATAATATGAAATCTGAGATATCTTCTTAGTTCTTAATAAGTTAGGACCGTTTGTAGTTGATTAGTTGTGTTCGTGTGTAGTTTTGGATTATCTTATCTGGATGGTGTCTGTAAAAACCTGTCAGTTTCATTAGTTCTTATCGTACACGTTATCTTTGTAAGTAAGTATATACATAACTACATTTTACCTATGCATGTATTAGGCAAATATACATTGCTTAAGCTTCAATAAAGGCTAAGTAAGTTAAGTTAGTTGTAGTTGAGCAGTCCTTTGTTTATTCATAGCTTATCAATGGACAGTTACACAGTTTTTTTTACAAAATGTTACATAGTCTATTATTATATGTTAAGTATTATAAGTATTTGGACAGTATCTTATTAGACACAAGTAGGCCTAACTTAATGACATTAAGTTAGGCCTACTACGTAAAAACAACTTGTAATAGGCCTAAGGGACGTTCCGATACGAAGTTAGTAGCCTAGGCATCGAAATTTTCCTTTTGATATTCAGAGTAGGCTATCGGTATTGCTTAAATGGTATTATAACAGTAGTAAGAAATGTTAGAGTAGGCCTATCGGTATCGAATGAATTAGGCCTAAGTTACTGTAATTTTCAAAACTGATTGAGTTACCTACTAGGCCTAACTTAAATGATGTAGGCTATTTGTTCGGTTTGGACAAGCTTAATAATAATATTTCCTAAGCAATGGAACAGTATTAGGTGCATTCCTGTTAGGCTAAAGAGAACATTCAAAATCATCAATGATTTCTTTTCGATATATAAACATTTTATTTTTTTATCCGATATATTGATATTAACAAATTGAAACTTAACTTATTAGCTGACAACTAGGCCTATGATAAGTTCAGTATCGGGTCGCCGGAATTTTATCCCATATTTAACTTAACAATAACAAGAAGGCAAAAAATGTGATCGTTTGACAATGATTGGACTTGAATAAAAAGATGGCTTATATATTGAAACTAGGAGAACATGTGGTACATAATGGAGGAAAACAAGTGGTTAAAGAGCACGACACTAACCCCAATACTCTGCTTTCACCCCCCTCACACACAACACAGCGAAGAAACAAGAAGGGGAAAAGGAAGCTATCTTCAATTGGAGAAGATCCTCTTCAGTGCAGAATCACTGTCATTAAAGAAGTCATAATCGTGATGCTGAATTAGAGTATTCTCCTGACGATGGAGTCTTGGAACAGGACTGTGAAATCCGTAGCTGGTTGAACACTGATGTCGGTGGAACAACTCCTGGGTCCGAGTAGCCGTGGGGATTCTAAACGTGATAAGATCAAGTAACTCAGGACAGTCGATCATATTGGTGAAAAGTCTTTTCACAGAGTACAGCAGTGAGGCGTTCGGTTTATTGGACATTTCGGATTAAAGAGGTTCTACTGTACGAGCTATAACTCAATAACTCGGCTATTGAACCAAGTAAGGTATAACTTAGACATATTTGCTATGTCTGTTTGTCTGTCTGTCTGTAATTTAAATGTGTTTTAAGATATTAAAATAGATGGAATATGGATCGTAAAGGAAAACAAAAATATTGATATATCCAAAATAAATCATCGATAATATTGAATGTTTCCCTTAACAGGTATTAAGATTAATCTCAGCTTATTCTTCCGGATTCATTGTTCCCAGGTTGGGAGTCCTAGCGTTTCGCTGTCTTGTTTCATTTCCAAGTCTAAGTCTATGTTCACGCGATACGTCTATCATACGTTCCGTATGATTTTGTATTTAGTGTTTGTTTATTGTTTGCTGTCCCTTTCTCTTGGAGCTAATAATGTACAGTCAAACGTCTAAATTAAGTTACAGTAGCCTAACATAAAGGTATTTTAGGCCTACTGGTAAGTCAAGCCTAAAACATTCACTGACCACCATTCTCTATTTTGTTAAAAAGAGTTGGGAGACAAACTTTGCTTTATGTTGGATTTTTTATATTTGGAATGATTAAAAATTTCATGTTCTATTCCAGAAAATGAATCGAAAAAAGAATGTGCTTGTTTCAAGCACACCTCATCCGGAAAGAACCCGGCATATTGCCAGTTTGTTTGAAGACGTGGATTTCTCTCCCATCAATGAACTATCTAAGTCTAATTCAAAGGTCCCAAATGGTCTGCTATTGAAGTAGGTATAGTTTGAATCTGAAGATGTTGCTAACATAAGTTAAGCAAAGCAAGCACTTAAAAATGTGATATTGTGCAAATAAATAAAGGTTAGGCATACAGCCCACCCTCTCTTAACTGACATTAAGACTAAAGTTAGTAGGCTTTGAGAAAGTAAGGTTAGGCGCACACGAGCGATTATTTTGAGGCGACTATTTCATCGGCCGATCTGTGCATCATGTATTTGAATGGAAGCTCGCACACAGGCGATCAAGAATTGCGCAGATTTTAAAATCTGGGTTTTGCCACAGATTCATAGGCGAGGCGATTGTCGCCCGAAAATCTGTAACGTACAGATTGTTATCAGTCCGCGCCTAAAAAAATCGGCCAGTCGCTTGTTGTTCTCCACAGGAGTCTGTGAACTTCAGTGTGAGTTGTGTTGTTTTCTTTGCTAAAAAAGGCCACAGCTGTTATAATAAAAACTGGAACTTTCAACAGACATTCTATAGTAATTAAAGAACTTTTTACTGTCATCACGTAAAGTGTATAGTTTATAAAACTGTCGATTTAAAAGTCCCTGACTTACTATCGGATGAACCCAATATTTAAGTTGTCTTCTTTTTTCTTTGGTCTAATTAGAAGAGCACAAACACAGGTTAATTCAACAAAGTCCATTTTAGGATAGCTTAAACGCACTAAAAAAAATCCATTTCTCGACAAAAAAATTGCCACGTGTGCGCCTAGACTTAAATCAAGGCCGATTTATTTTTGGCCGATTCTTCAATCGGCCGATCAAAAAATCGACTGTGTGCGCCAGGCCTAATTGTTTTAGTCAAACATTTTTAGTTTGAGTTTTGGGTAAAAATAACCATTTTGGGTCCCCCTGGATAATTTTTTTTTTTTTATGATGTCTGTGTGTGTGTGTATGTGTTGCCATACCGGTATAGACTATTTGAGAATTAAGTTAGCCTACTTCTAGATAGATAGGAAAAGATAAATTAACCTCTTGTATAAAACTTGTGACGTAATACGCAAGGCAATAAGCCTAAAATGAATTTTAAAACTAATCATGTTTACTTTCTGGCCAGTGACATTATTTGTTTATGTTTATGTGATCCTCCAATACCCGAAACACTTACCCTTACTCTTAGAGCTGTAGGCCTATGAGTAAAATGTTTGGTTCTAAGTAGGCCTATTAAGTTTGAGATTTACTCACAACTTTATACTTTTAAACTTTTATTTGATTTCTCGTTTCAAAATGTTACCAAGCCTACCAATTTTTGATGTTCCATGTTTTATTTCTGTTCAGAACTGTATCTTCAAAACCAAGTACTTCGGTAAAAACTGGAGCTATTAGGAAGCGGAGAGTTGTAAGCAAAAAAGAAAGTAAGTTGTTATTTGATAAGATAAGAAAATCTAACAGTCTTGGAAACTAAATATTTGCTTATTCAGTAGGTTTGCAACAACTGGAGCATTAAGTTCAACGTTCAATTGTAAGGTTCAATTTTCCTTGTTAGACTTCTCACTCACTGTCACAATTATTCACAAAATTACTTAGTATCTTTGACTTTATAGATATAAAGTCAATGATAGTATACTGGACCACAATGCTCACACTAACACTAATCTTTACTTAGGCTTACTTTATAGAAATTATACCTCAACAAAGTTGAACAACTACTTTACATGCCTAAAGAAAAATTCTGGCAGTTTAAATGTGAACAATCATTTTGTAAACAAATGGCACATAAGTTAACCTCACATTATTTCATCCGATTATAGGCCTCGAATAAGTTAAGGATATTTTTTAAATCCAATAGTTTTACAATTGTAAAAAAATCTCTTTTTCTTATAAATAGGCCTAAACCAAAAAAACACTTTAATAGATCCATCTTACTCACCTTCTCACTCCAATTTCTGTACAAAATTTGATGGTTGCCCCTGGTTTGGAATAATAAAGACTATAAATAATCACTCAACGAGAACAATGGCAGTGGAAGTTTGGTTTTAGGCCTAAATAAAAATAGGGTGGCCCTATAGAATAAAAGTTATTCCAAGGGATCCATAGGGGACGGTCTGGGTACCGGTTGATTTCTTCCAAAATTTTAACGGCAACCTTAAGTTATAACTACACTGATTCTACTATTACGCTACTATCACCAAAGCAACGTGTTGTATTTAAGGTTTATATTTTGTAGCGTAACTTGCAACCTGTTAAATCTTTTTGTTTTATTTATCAGACCTAGGCCTAATGTTGGGTTGTAAAGTGATCAATTTAAACTGAAAGAATGAATGAAACAAACAAACAAATAATACAGAAATATATTGTCATAACAATTAGCCTACAGGTTTTGAGGTTTTGCTATGGGTTAACTAGTCAATTGTTCTGATAACTTCCCTAATATTTTTACGTTGAAATTGTCGCCTGAACTGAATCACTGATTATTTATTAATCAATCTCAGCCAGTAGCTGTTGTCACCTGATTGACAGTATAACCTAGTACAGAGTGTAAATATTTAATTTGTTTGATTGAGACTACTCATTGTCGCAAATCCTAATATATAATGTAACTGGCCAGTAGGCTACTAGAATACAGTACCCCAAAGCAGAATGTTTTAAACTGCAACAGACTAGGATAGATGCAAACAATTTCTGTGGGCTTACACGGTCCAAGTTGTGTGTAAATGAACCGTATGTGTGATAGTTTTAATGAATATTTGGAAAAAAGTGTTCAAATGCTGTATCTGCTCAAATACGCCTACTGTATGTAAATTACATTGAACCGCTTTAGTAATTCAGTTATTCTATGCATTCATACTCAAGATCGATGAACCGAATATTGACGTTGCAGCTTTTGTTTCTGTAATCATGACGTTTTGTAGCGTAACTGCTAGCAGAACAGACAGTTTTTCTGTAGAAAATAAAGATGTAGACTTTCTACAGATATATTTTTTGCAAAAAACAATGTTATTAACTTCTTATGTAGCATTTTCTGTAGAAACTTATACAGGTTAAGTGTAAGAAAGGACCATGTGACCCTAACTTTGCCTGTTTTAGCATTTTTAGACATGTTGTAGTGTTACTACTTGCAGAACAGAGAATTTTTCTGCAGAAAATAAAGTTGTAGACTTTCTACCTAGCATTTTCTGCAGATACTAATACATGTTAAGTGTAAGAACTGCGCCTGTTTCAATATTTAACTAAATTAAAAATACTGTCTCCCTTAGTTCTGCTTTGTGGTTAGTATAAACTTCTGAACTTCTGGGCGGGTAGATCTTCAAGATCCAAGGACCTCTTCTCTCATAACCATCTCAGCACCAACTATCGTCTCTTCAGCCCATTGCCTAGAGCCCAACGTCTCGTAAATGCTCTACCTGATGATTTTGACCTTTTCAATATGTCGCTGGCTGCTTTCAAGAAATGTGTGGTGATTTCGAAGTGGTGAAGTGAAGTTATTTCTATTATTTGTGCCTGCACCTCTCTGTGTTACGCAAATTTTTATTCTGCCCTTTTTTGTTTTGTTAGTTATCACGGCAGTTACGGTTTGCATATTTTCTGTTATGTTTGGGTTGCTTTGTTGCTTTGCTTGTTTTGTTTCATGATATGATTTTTGTTTCTGTTTTTGCACTCAAATGGCATTATCTAATAATTTCCTTGAATTAGTAGATCGTTATTGTGAATTCGTTCCAGTTTGTCAACTTGTATTTATTGTTGCTTGTTATCTCGTAGCTTGTTACTGTTCTGAATTGTATCACACTTGCATCTTGTTATTTCTTGTTAAATTGTATCACAACCTTAATCATCATATGTATTGGCGTCAGCCGTTGAAACAATAAATAAGTATATATCTCTGAATAGCAGGTCTTGTCGGTTCTGTTAGTGCCAGTTATGCTGGACACTTAATCCTGGATACAGTTTAATCAATTGTTATATTGTTTAGGCCTAATTAATATTGTTACTGGCCCTATAGGGAGTAGTACAGGGAGAGAGCTGGTGTGGTAGTTAGAGCGTGGGACTTCGATCCCTGAGGTACTTGGTTCAAATCCCGCCAAATCACTAATGGATATCTAAGTGATAATGCCGCAACCCCTAGGTCTAGCCTGAAGTAATGTGAAAAACAATCCTGAGCTCATGCCTCGGATCCATAGGACGAAAAAAATTTGGATTAGTCTATTGTCTCCTTCACCTGTGCAGCCTCGGCACCCACATTCTGATGCTGACCAAGACCAACCCGTTACTTTAATGTAAATCAATTCAGTTGCAGGGATAACTTTAATTCTTTCCTTTTAGCGAATTTCCCTATAGGGAAGTAGCTATAACCGTAGGTGGTATCAGACCTAGGCCTGAGACTGATTTACTTTCTCATTTTAATGTCCCCAGAGGCCAAAAACACCATTCGTTCACATACCTATATACAGGGTGAATAAAATGTCAAAACCCCCCTCTAATATCCAAGTAAATATACAGATATATCCTTTTGGTGGTCGTGCAATCTTAGCAGGAAGTTTCATTTTATGATTTTGAAATTTTTTAGTATCACCCAAAAAGGAGGATTTGGGGGGCAACTCAAATATTTCAAAAGTAAACCCCCTTCAAGTGACATCTCATTTTGAAGTGTTTACAAAAACTTAAAGAATGGTGAAAACTAGAGATCGCTATCTCTTCTCTATCCAAAATGGTAGCCCGTCAAATGTTGTGGAAAATCAATAGTCAAATTGGTTTGTAATGGTAATATTGGCTACCATTTTGGATAGAGAAGTGATAGCGAACTCTGGTTTTCACCATTCTGTAAGTTTTTGTAAACACTTGAAAATGAGATGTCACTTGATGGGGGTTTCTATTGACAAATTTTTAGTTGCCCTCCCAAATCCCCCCTTTTGGGGGGACTCTCAAAATCTTTAAATCTAAACCTTTATTTAGTGACACTTCGTTTTGAAGTGTTTACAAAAACTTAAAGAATGGGTGAAAACCAGAGTTCGCTATCTCTTCTCTATCCAAAATGGTAGCCAATATTACCATTACGAACCAATTTTACCATTGATTTTCCACAACATTTGACAGGCTACCATTTTGGATAGAGACCTCTAGTTGTCACAATTCTTTAAGTTTTTGTAAACACTTCAAAATGAGGTGTCATTTGAAGGGGGTTATATTTAAATATTTGAGTTGCCCCCCAAATCCACTCAAAATTTTCAAAAATCATAAAATGAAACTTCCTGGTAAGATTGCATGACCACCAAAAGGATATCTCTGTATATTTAATTGGAAAAATATTAGAGGGGGGGTCTTGACTTTTTATTCACCCTGTATATATGTGTGTGTGTGTCCATGAACACGATAACTTAAATAATTGTTGTCCGATTTTGATGGAATTTAGTTTGAAGGTGTAAGGCGGAATAAACTTGAATAAGTTCGCGAACCAGCATGATCGTACCATGGGAACAGGGTTTTATGGGGTAAAAATTGGTTTTTCTAATTTTTGACCCTCAAAACAACAAGTATCCCAAACAAACTATCCAAATTTCTCTCCAGACCTTTTTAAAGAGCTTAAAAAAAACAATTTAGTATATCAAAATAGTTTTTGTACTATTATTGGTTACGGAGTAAATTCAAAAATTTGTTATTTTAAAATTCCCATGTTATTCTTAAGGAGAATTTTGTAAAATGTTGTAGTTTGTTTTTTATGGATATATTTTGATCAAACTTGGTAAATTTATTTATTTTATATTAAGTTATATATATTTTACCAAAAACACACTTTTTACCCTCCCTGTAGCAGCAAGCCTAGGTACTCATAAAACCTAATGTTAATTAAATACATTTAATTGAAAATCAATTCAGGCAAATGGAAATTCGCTTAGTCCTCAGGTTTGCTGCGGTGGGGTATTTTATATTAACAGATGAAAGAGTTACTTTTTAAACAGTTCTCCTCAATTTAAAAAGGCTTATTGGTGCTAATTGCAACAGCTATAACATTGAGTTAGGATCTTTCGAATATTTAAATGACTATCTCAGTTATAAAAAGATTATGTCATGAACCCATAATCATGTCATGAACCCATAATCATGTCATGAAACATGTTATGAACAAGTTTTGGCAAAAGGCAGTTAAAAATTATTTTACTTGGTGCAGTGAAACAAGAATTGACAAAACTAATCCTGTAAGAGTCACTTTGAGTAAGTTAACAAACTTAACCGAACTATCAAAACAATTCAAATTAGTCCGCTTACAATTTTGACCGGACCTTGGCATCATGATTACACTTAATTTGGGCAGACCTCTGCATTTCAAATTCTCAGCAATACTCAGTTTCAGCTTGTCGGTGCGATTAGAGATTTTTCGTGTACTCTCTGCTTTACCATTATCCGCACAGCTATGGATTGGTCAAAGTGTAAGGTTTCGAGGCTAATTAAGTTGTGTTTGGAGTGCACTGATGCTGAGGTAGATAAGAAGCTGCAACTTAAGGTTGCAGTACCTTAGGGAGGTCACTAAGGACAAGTGCAAGGGTGAGTGAAGTGTGTGTGCCAAAATAGCACTTTGTACACACAAATCATCAATGAGTTAAAGGAGCCTTCCGATGGTCTTTTATAAAAAGAAATTCTTATCCTCCATCTAGGTTGTTTTGTCTTTTTCTCCTAAGTTTATTTTATGTACCAGCCATAATTAAAAACATACAGTACTGCTATTTCATCCATGGTGATTTTTAGAACACAATATAATCAAAATCAGCTACCGAAACTGACCTCATCACAACATGAGAGCAACTGACCTTATCTGCCAGTCGTAGTAGCGGGACTTGTGCCCCACATCCCTGGAATGAAAAACGGCATGAAACATTACATGGGACATGCGCCGCGACATGTTCCTGGGAATTGAAGTAATGAAACTTACCTTAACCAACATATTGGTATGCCGGCATACATACATTCAAACATCAAGAAAAATAATTATCAAAGATGTGAACCAGTTATAGCTAAGTTAAACAATCAAGCGATAATTTGATGAAAAAAATATTTTTTAAACATGAGTTAACATTTTCATAGCATTGAGATATATAGTTAAAAATTTAAACTACACATTTACTCATAAACGCGTTACAGTAGAAAACTAAATTTTAAAGTGAAATATTCAAAATATGTAACAAACACCGAGCATCATTATTTTTGTAAGCAAATAAAATGTAGGGTGAACATTTCAATGACAGTTTGAAACCAGCTGTTAGTTAAAAGCAAATAATATTGCACTGGTTAGACTTTAATTAATTTGTTAGTATTGGCTGTAACTATTTAAAAATTAAAACTAAATTTTTAAAAACCTAAACCCTTGGTAATAATTTTGGCTGTGACATTCCCTTCCTTTCAAAACTGATCTCCTGCTCAACAGCAGAATCATTAAAAACTGTCAAGTGGTTGATTCAAAATCTGTGAATAAAAAAAACCCCCAACGTTTAAGATATGCCTAACTATGCTCTTGCCAGGATATGTCTGCACCAAAAATAACAAGTATAATTTCTATTTAGTATTAGAATTATCTTATTGTTTCATAAGACTAAACTGTTGCATATATTAGTCACATTTAAACCTACAATTGTACGTTTTCTTTGTCATAACTAACTTGACATACGTAACTTGTTTGTCATAGCCAAACCGGAAAGTGCAACAGCTGGAGTTTTCAAGGAACTTGGAGTGGACCGTAAGGAAGTTGGTAACAATGCATTGTCCCTCTCTCGCAACCTTTACAACATGTTTCCTGAGCCAAGTAAGTGTAGCTCAGTATTTTCTTGTAACAGCTAGAAATTTTAATTTCAAATTGGCAAGTACAGGGCAGTACAATTACCATCAATCAATGTTAAATCACCTTCACTACCATGTCTCACAAAGCCCTTCATACAGAGGAGTGTGACGGCCGGCAGGCAATGTACACACCTGTAAATCTATACCTTAATAGTTTTTCTTTACTACCTACTTTATTTACAAGTTAGCAATATACAAATGATTTTTGAGTTATTCAAATCCTGTAACCAGATAAATCGGTAACCAAAAAGAGTCAAAGTGTTAATCTGTGTGTCTGTATGATTTTAATTATCTTCCAAATGAACTTTTGATTTTGTGTATTCTAACACTTTTAGTGATTATTATGAAGTTTTTTAAGTTAATAAAGTTATTTTGACTATATAGTATTGTAAGGCAGCTTACTTGAGTCAACATTTTTACTATCTTTGTCTGTTATTTAGCATTTTCATATTATCTTTGCTATCTTTTATTTATTTTTTGTGTCATTCCAGTTATTTTGGATTCTGACTCAGAGGAAAATACAACATTGGTTTTAAAACCTCCAAAAAAACTTAAGCAAGACAGTCAAGTCACAAAATCCAGTCCAAAGAAGAATGAAGAAAAGAAAACAAAGGAGCGAGCTCCAGGTTAGCAAAAATCTTGATTGTTAACAACATTTCAATGCCAACAATTAGTTCTACCTTGACTTGTACAAGACCTAAAGTATTTCAAAATGTTATAAAATGCCAATTCCTTGCCTTTATAGGCTACTATTTGATTTTAAAAGTTATGTCTGGTAAATGGGGTCCTCCATATTGACCCACTGACAAAGCCTTTTCTACCAGTTTTCCAGAGTTCTCTGTGTCATTTTTTGTAGAATGCCAGTCGCTGCTTGGGTGATTGCATGGTTAAGTACTTTCAGGGTTCTAGGGCGAGCTTTTTACACTTGTGCATTTAAATGTTCCCAAAGAAAAAAATTGTTATTTGACAAATCAGTTGACTTAACGGACAAAATGATGACCCCTTGCAAAGTGAGAAGACGTCCAGGAAATAACTCTTATCTCAAAATTGCCACAGAATACTGTGAAGTGTGTGCTAGTAGCTCCATCTTATTAAAACCAGATCTATTGCTCTTTATTTTCCTCAATAAATCTGTTCAATTTAGATCTGAGGAACTCCTCGATCATGTGCGATGTTTCCTACAGGGTGTCTAGCAGTCGGGAAAATCTGGAATTAGTATTGAATTTCAAAATGGTCTTGAAAAGTCGGGATTTAGTCTTAAATTTGATTTCAAAGTCGGGAATTTTCATGATTTTGCCGCGATCGTCGTCTTGCGTTTACGTAACCGCGAAAGCCATCATCATTGGATGTCTACACGGTCTCAGGAAATGTTCACGATTTTGCCGCAATAGTGGATGACGACGATGACGTTTCCAAAACCGCGGGAGACGACAATGACGTTTCCGAAACCGCGGGAGACTACGATGGCCTTTCCGTGACCGCTGGGGCGATGATAACGTTACCGTTACCGCGGGAGACGACGATAACGATTCCGTGACCACGAGAGACGGCGATGACGTTTCTGTGGCCGCGGAAGATGACGATGACGTTTCCGTGACCGTGGGAGTCAATGACGTTTCCGTGACCGTGGGAGTCAATGACGATGTCTACACAGCCGCAATAAATGTTCATTATGACGTTTCCGTGACGGCGGGAGGCGACGATGACATTTCGGTGACGGTGGGAGACGACGATGATATCTGTGATGATATATGATGATAGCTGCGGGAAATGTTCATGATTTTGTCGCGATCGTGGACGACGACGATGACGTTTCTGTGATCGCGGGAGATGACGATGACGTTTCCGTGACCGCGGGAGACGACGATGATGTCTACACGGCGGCGGGAGATGTTCATGATTTTGCCGTGATTGCGAACGTCGACGATAACGTTTCCGTGACCGCGGGAGATGACGGTGATGTCTAAACAGCCGCGGGAAATGTTCATGATTTTGTCACGATCACGGACGACGACGATGACGTTTCCGTGACCGCAGGAGATGACGATAACGTTTCCGTGACCGCGGGAGATGACAGTGATGTCTAAACAGCCGCGGGAAATGTTCATGATTTGACCGCGATCCCGGACGACGACGATGACGTTTCCGTGACCGCGGGGGAACTTTATTCATTAAAGTACAATACATAGATACAGGAATGGCGTCAAGAGTAATTTAACAAATCTAACTTAACTAAAATACTCATAACTATCAAGCATGGCGTAACAACATACCATCCATATGAACATTCTTTCAGCTCAAATAAAGTAAAACAAGCAGTGCAATATAAAAGTTTAAACATGAAAATATCAAAATTAAAATAATAGATAAAATTATTTTAAAACCAAAAGTTTCAACTTATGAAATAAAGCAATATAACTTATGGAACTAAAACTCTTCAAAGGAGTACATAGCCTTGTTGATAAGAAACTTTTTCAATTTTGATTTAAATTTATTTTTTGAGGTTTCCAATTTGATGTCTAAGGTCAAGGTGATGTCTAAACAGCCGCGAGAAATGTTCAGGATTTTTCCGCGCCGACGAAGACAATCACGTTTTTGTAACCGCTTTAGTCAATGATGATGTCTAACTAAACGTACGGTACGCGGAAGATTTCATGATTAAAAAAAACAACCAAATTTGCTAGTTTGAATTTTTTATTGCTGCATTATTTCTTTACTTGAAAACTCCACATTATCATAATACTACTTTATGACAAAGACAGGGGTTGGTGTAGTATTATTTAGAAAATTTGGTTAAGCTATAAAAATTGGTATCGGTATCAAGAATCGAGAATCAATACATTTTGGTATCAACGTTCACTAATTGTTGAAAAAACTAGTCTTGAAAAATCTGGAAATAGTCTTGAAAAGTCTAGAATTAGTCTTGAATTTTATAATGGAAATAAACTAGACACCCTGTTCCTACCTCTCACCCTGTTTGTCTATTGCGGTTAAATTTATATTGATGTAAATTCTTTATACAGTTTTCTAAAGAATATTTATTGGTGTCTAGATTTTTTCCTATTAATCCAAAATAACGAGTAACTGCATTTTTATGTACATAAATAAATCTAGAATAATACATAATAATAAATGTTCATTTTTTCATCTGCTTATAGGTAGCAGTATGATTACGAATACACGACTAACTCGTCTTGCTGTGGGTAGCAAAGATAATAAAAACACTAAATCAAATTCATCAGAAAGTGTTTCTTCAGTTGTAAAGGAGTTAAAAACTTCCAGCACCAAACCACAAACTGTGACCAAGCTGCCTGGCTCCCCAAGTAACAACCGTAGTTTGATTGAAATTGATGATGATGATGATGATGAGGTATTCCCTATTTACAAACCCGGAGCTTCTATTCACCAATCCTCTAAGACCAATAAAAGAAGTGAAAATGTACGTCTCTCACTCGAACTAGCCGATAACTTCCCAATACAGTGGAGGGGGAAATGTAAAAAAACCACGGATATTGATGAAAGTGTCTTGGAATTTGTAAATAGCGATATTAATAAAAACAAAATTGAAGAGACAAATAAAAAGTACAATGAACCTAGCACAAAGCCCAAACTCGGAGTGAATGAGGAAAATCATTTGAACGACTTAAAACCAAGTAATAGTGAAGATCATAAAGACGGGTGTGTTTTCAAAGAGAATGAAAATATTGGGGCGAAAATGAGCAATGATGTTCAGAAAAGTTGTGATAAAATAAAGTTTAGGAAAACTAGTAAAACTGATGTTCTACAGGAGATTGAACCCAAAGGCAGTGCTAGTATTGATGTAAAACCTCAAAGTAGAGTTAGAAAGGTGTCTAGTAAAGAGAAAGAAAACTCAGGTAGGCCTAATTTCCTCATTTTATTGCATGATTTTTATGATTTTATTAAGTTCCTAAAGCCTATATAGAAGTAAGAAATAATATTCCTAAAGTCGGGACCACGTAAGTTTGCAGTTGGTGGTAGCCAATCACAAGACAAGGCTAGTGCGACGCTGCCACATCGCCCAACACTAATTAAAATATACTAAGCAATATTTTCAAATCAGCTGGTATTATTAGATTTGGCAACACCGCATGGTTCTCATTGGTTCATTCAAAACCATATGATAAATAGGCTCCTCCCTCAACTGCAAACTTATGTGGTCCCGACAATAGTTCCTAGTAGCCTACATTGAGCATGTTAGTTTTTATTCAAAATACAACTAACAACTACTTAAAAACTCTAATGTTTCTCATTCAATTTGAAAAATTGAGATATTATTTTAATCTTCACAGTAAAATATTTTTCTTTTGATCAAATTTACAGTTTTGTTTTGTATTATTGGGCATGAAATCAATATAATTGTTTATTGGTGTTATCATAGACAAATTGAAATAAATATAGACCATCAGCCATACCACGGTTACCATAGGTTTTGGCGCACACCGCTGGGAGCGCCATGTAGTTACGGCGTACACACTACGTAACTACATGGCGCTCCCAGCAGAGTACGCCAGATCCTATGGTAACCGCAGCACGGCTGAAAGTCTATATTTAATTTGTTTTGTCAATGAAGTTATATGTTTCGTGATTGGTACTTGGCATAACTCATTTTTAATGAAAGACCCAATATTTAAGAATAAGCTTATAAATATCAAACGCTTTAGGCCTAACATGTTCAACACTTTTTTGAAGGTATTTTTCCTTTTTGTATCATCAGTCTAATTGTCTTGTTCTCTTGTTGCAGTTCAGATCTCTCGGTTTGTAGATGTTGTTTTTAAAGTTAACCACGCCAATGGTGGAATTATCGCTAAAAGTCTGAAAACGGATAAAAATGATGTTGGTTACTTAGAGGTTGTTCCAGATATAATATTTCAGGGACAAAATGCAAACATTGTAAGTATATATTTAAATTAAATCATTCCCATGTTTCCCACTGTCTCGAATAAAACTGTCACTCTAAATACGATCAAACTTGGTAAGATCTGTGGGAGTAAGCTCAGGTTTAACAAGAGCCATAGCAGGTGATCTCTTTATGACAAATTAAATTGGTTACCGGTATCCAGATCACTGGTAACCTATCAAAGCCCTGCAAGTCATTTTGGTGTTGGAGTAAGCTTTATGAGGTTCATAAAGCTTTTTTTTCATTTTTAAAGGGATGATTGAATAGTACCAAGATATGTGTGCATCTATGAAAACAGAAAAAAAAATTCCATAACCACTTGTACATTGTACAATTTTACCCGGACAAAGCCAGGTTTTGCTGCTAGTTTTCTCCATAAGAATAGCATGGAAATTTCAAATTACACTATTTTTGAATTTTCTCCGTTACCGTTAGGCATACAACGCGCTTCAATATACTAAATTATTTATTTGTTTAAGCTCTACAAAACGGTTTAAAAAGAAATTGCAAAATTTTTTGTTTTTAGGGTTAAAAATGGTACAAAGTTTCATCAATATCGGATCATTTTTGCTCAAGTTATCGCGCTAACAGACACATATATATCTATATGAATTTGAAAAAAAAATGTGTATGTATTTTTCATTTCGACTTAGGCCTAAATCCAAATTGTCTAATGCTATGTAATCCTTTTAACAGACATTTGTCGTAATCGAGGGAAAAGCCAAAGTTGTCCACCTGGGATCACATCATACCCTTTCTCCTGGAGATATGATTCACATATCTTCCGGTAAGTTCACTTTTGGTTACCGTTACTAGATATTAGTTTGTTTTGTAATCACCTGCTAAGTAAATACAGAGTGTTGTATAAGCGGTGGGGCACACGGGAGGGACTAAGGCTAACATATCTTGTAGTGTCAGCGTTCACCGCTAGAAACGCTAAGTTAAAAAATTTAAATTAATTTTTTTTTAATTTTTTGTTATAAAGTTAACTTTTTAATTATAATTTTTTAAAATCTAAAATAAATTTTTAATTTTTAAAATTAAACTGAACATAACCTAACCAACCAACCAGACTTGCTGATAATATAAAAACTATATATGATAAAAGTCTAATTAATGATTACTTATAATTTTTATAATTATAAAATCAATTTTAAAATGTAGTATTATAAAATTAAACTGTCATAACCTAACCAACCAAACTTGCTGATACTATAAACAAGATATAAGATAAAAATCAAATAAAGGTTCAATATTAAAAAAAAAAAAAATTCTGTTCATAAATAAAATTATAAATGCAACAAATTCTAAAAAAAGATGTACAGTTAAGAAGTATTCGCATTCCAATCAAAAATCGTTGACAAAAAGTTAATGTCCCCGAGAGGTTTCGAAACCCGGGACCTCCTGAACATCAATCCGAAATGCTACCAACTATGCCACGAACACCGCTGAAATCACATTGTCTCGTTACGGTAATCGTGTTGTCTCAAGAGAAGACATTAGCCACTGGAGATATGACGTCACTACACCTTTAGCCTTAGTCCCTCACGTGTGCCCATTCCATTGTACAAGTAAAGTGGGATATTGTCTCTATATTATGTATTTAATACTTTGACACACGTGTTTCATAAATATTGGTAGAAACATTGTTTAGTTAATAAAAGTCAACATCTATATCTATCTATATATTAATAGGCAAGCATGTTTCTTTAAAACCTTTTTTCTCAGCTCGTGTGAATCGTAGGGAAAATCTACGCATACCGTTGGAAAGCTATTTTCCTGTAGATGTGCAGAATCCCTTTATAAATTAAAATAGGCTCAAAAATAAGCACGAAAAATGAATTTAAAATTTTGAAAAATTAACATGTATTTAATGGGTTGCTATGCTGGTGACGAAATAACAACGAAATATAAACAGAAAATCTAAACAAATGGAAGAAACTCCAATCACATGTTTAATTCACAGTGAGGGATGAAAATAAAGAAGTATGTACATCAAATATTTTTGGTCGAGTTTCGACCACTGGACGACCTCTAGTACTTATTTAATACGCAAGCAAGTTTTTTGTGACAATTACTCCTCCGAAACTACTGAACCGATTGACATGTTTTTGGTGTCATTGGAAAGAGCGTGACGTGAAGTTGTGCAGGAAACATTCTTTTTAGCTAAATAATTAAAGAATGAGGCCCTGGGGCCCTTTAAAGTTTCATATTTCTCCATAAGATTAACATGGGAAACAAACATTGTTATGAAACTCCAGCTGTTGTCAGAAATGCTGTTCTGCTATTTAATTTAATTTGTTTACAAGGAGAATTGTTTCTTGGTGCCATGTGGTCAATGAATTATACTTTAGCATATATATTTTAAATGCTATACACTATATAAAATGATAGTATTGTAATACATTGAGAGATCTTCATTTGAATAATCAATAAGCACAATTGAGCCTTTACCTATATGTTTCCTGGTAAGTGTGTTGTAACTGTTTGTTATAGTATATTATAGTATCTCAAAGTAAAACCGAATTATTATTTTCTGTATTCTCACCCCGTAGCGAAGCACGGGCAGAGCAACTAGTACTTATTTAATAGGCAAGCAGGATTTTTGTGACAATTACTCCTCCGAAACTACTGAACTGATTGACATGTTTTTGGTGTCATTGGAAAGAGCGTAACGTGAAGTTGTGCAGGAAACTTTCTTTTTAGGTAAATAATTAGAGAGCGAGGCCCTGGGGCCCGTTAAAATTTTGTATTTCTCCATAAGATTAACATGGGAAACAAACATGTTTTGAAACTCCAGCTGTTGTTAGAAATTAAATATTAATAATTGGTCTCCATGGAAGCATGAGAAAATTTACAATGTTTACAATTTGCTTTGACATTTAAACGTAAACAACCAGAACTGTCAAATGCCTATTTCACAATTCAATTTCAGACAGCTGATAAAAAAAAAACAACTATGTGGTAGGGCCTTGGGTTTATTTAATCTTAAACTTTATTTTTTTTTATTTTTTTTTTATCACAATTTTATTTACAATCTGTTCATTTTTAGAACATTTAGCAAATACAATAACAAATTTTAATAAAACGTTAGTTAATCTCTGTCCATTGACAGAGCTAACTTAAAAATATTTCAATGAAAACATAAATATGTAAATAAACAAGGGAAAATTAAATTGTTCAAACAAAACGTGTGCTTAGATCCAAAACATGAATCCTTTTTAGCCTGTATATACTGGTGCTGTTGTCCAAGAGGTTTAGAGCCAGGTGATTAGGGTGATTTTCAAGTTTCTTTAGATATTTTGCACTAAATTTGGTTATTTCCTCTTCAACCGTAGGAATTCCACTGTCCTTGTGAAGGATATTGTTATTAACATACTACGGGGCTTGCAGAATGAACCTTAAAACTTTTGACTGAAATCGTTGGATAATGTTTATGTTCGACATACTGGACGTTCCCCACAGTTGGATTCCATAAGTCCAAATTGGCTTCAGTATTACTTTGTATAGTAATAATTTATTTGCAATGGTCAATTTTGATTTACTATTTAGGAGCCAGGAAAGATTTTTAAATTTTAAATTTAGGTACATTCTTTTATTCCAGATATGGGTTTTCCAGGTTAATCTTTTGTCAATCGTCATGCCGAGATATTTCACATCGTGGGATTGCGGAATTTGGACATTATTTAAGGTTACAGGAGGACAAGTACCTAATCTGGTAGTGAAGGTCACATGAGTAGATTTGCTCTCATTCACTTTTATTTTCCATGTTTGCAACCATTCTTCTAAGTCATCTAGGGAATTTTGAAGATTAAGTGAAGCTACCACTGGATCAGGATGGGACGCTAAAATAGCTGTATCGTCAGCAAAAGTGGCCACAGAAGTATTCACATTTTCAGGTAGATCGGCTGTAAACAGAGTATATAGTACAGGTCCGAGAACACTTCCTTGGGGAACGCCAGCTTGAATTGGGTACAATTTTGTAATGCTATCTCCAAATTTAACTCTGAAATATCTGTCGGTTAGGTATGATTTAATTGTCATATAAAATGTATGAGGAAGATTCAGTTTGAGTTTATAAAGTAGGCCTGTGTGCCAAACTTTGTCAAAGGCTTGACTTACATCGATAAAGACAGCTGTACAATAGTTCTTTTTCTCAAGGTCTTCTTTAATTGTATTAACCAATCTATGTACTTGTTCAACTGTGGAATGCTCCCGTCGAAACCCAAACTGATGATTTGGAATCAAGTTTCTGTCCTCTACTTCTTCAAGTAGACGATTCAAGAAGAGCCTCTCAAACAATTTGGATGTTATTGGAAGTAGACTGATAGGTCGATATGAACTTGCTTGTTGGGGTGGTTTTCCTGGCTTTGCTATCATGATTATTTCTGAAACTTTCCATTGTGACGGGAAATACTCAGTCCGTATAATTGAATTAAAAATGAGTGTCAGGTATATGAATGCTTTTCTAGGAAGCTCTTTCATTACTTTTCCCGTGATTAAGTCGTATCCAGGGGCTTTAAACAGTTTTAATTTGTTTACAAACTTCTGAGGGAGTAAAGGGCTTTATTGGAGGTGATAACTGATTTGGTGAGTCAATGAACTCAAGAATTTCGTCAAGATTATTAAAATTATTATTTTGATTTTGATTGGGAGTAAACACTGCGGCCAAGTGGTTTGCAAACACTTCAGATTTTTCAATATCGTTTCTTGCCCAAGTTCCATCGGACTTAGAGATAGGCAGTATCAGGATATTTGGACGGTTCATCCCTCTAGTAGCTTTCCATAAAGAGTAGTTTGTTGTTTTATCAGGTGACAAATTACCTGTATATTCAGAAAACCATTCATTTTTTAAATTTTTCAGATCCCTCTTAAGTTCTTGAGTTGCTCTGTTAAATTTAGTTTTATCTCTCGGATTTCTAGTCTGTTGCCAAATTCTTCTTAATCTTCTCTTCTCAGCAACTTTCCGTTTTACATGTAATGGATAGTTGTAGGAAGTTAAATGGGTTCCTGTGTTTTGTATATTAGGAGTCGCTTGCCAGCAAGATTGTTGAATTACATTGTTAAAATTTTCTACAGCGTCATCAATGTCATCTGGAGTTTTAAGAGGTATTTTTAGAGAAAGCTCTTCATTTACTCTGTCTCGAAATATGTCCCAGTCAGTAGATTTATTAAACAGCTTAAGAGGCTGTTCTTTACACACAACAGTCGAACTTAAGGTGACAATAATTGGTGAATGGTCTGACGACAAATCTAGGCTTGCTTTCACATCAATATAGTTTTGACCAATTCCTTTTGTAATAAAGAAATCTAACAAATCAGGAATTTTTTGAGGATCTGTGGGCCAATATGTTGGTTCAGCTGTTGATATAAACTGAAAATTGTTATTGGTGACTGATGTCAATAGTTGTCGACCTCTTGGGTTAGCTAGTCTTGAGCCCCACATGGGATGTTTTGCGTTGTAGTCTCCACCTGCTAAGAACCTGGGGCCAAGTGTATTAAAAAGTCTGTAAAATTTTGGGAAGTGACGTTATGACGAGGTGGGCTATATATTGCGGATATAGTGAGCGGTCCAGACCTATTTTCTATTACTATACTGGTAGCTTGAAGATGGTTGTGTTGATATTTGGGCAATTCATAATGTGATATGAAGTTTTTAATCAAGATAGCACTGCCACCATGAGCAACGTTGCCTGGGTGGTTTGAGTGGTAAAGTGAGAAATTTGGAATTTTAAAGTAACTAAGATCAGTAAAGTGGGTTTCAGATATAAGCATGACATCAATTCT